GTTCACACACAGGGAGGTGCTCACACACAGGGAGGTGTTCACACACAGGGAGGTGTTCACACAGGGAGGTGTTCACACAGGGAGGTGTTCACACATAGGGAGGTGCTCACACAGGGAGGTGTTCACACACAGGGAGGTGCTCACACACAAGGAGGTGTTCACACACAGGGAGGTGTTCACACAGGGAGGTGTTCACACAGGGAGGTGTTCACACAGGGAGGTGCTCACACACAGGGAGATGCTCACATAGGGAGGTGTTCACACAAAGGGAGGTGTTCACACAGGGAGGTGTTCACACACAGGGAGGTGTTCACACACAGGGAGGTGCTCACACAGGGAGGTGCTCACACAGGGAGGTGCTCACACACAGGGAGGTGCTCACACAGGGAGGTGTTCACGCACAGGGAAGTGCTCACACAGGGAGGTGTTCACACAGGGAGGTGTTCACGCACAGGGAAGTGCTCACACAGGGAGGTGCTCACACAGGGAGGTGCTCACCATGTTGCTCTCTGAAATGCTGGAGATGCTGGCAATGTCCAGAGTCAGTGCGATCTGAACCGGAGCTCCTGGAAATGAAGAAACAGAGACTAACGCCGCAGCCCAGCCCCGGGCGCCCTCCCCACACCCGCCACCCCTCCCCTGAGGCCGAGGTCCGGCCAGCCCCACCGCCGTGGAACCAGAAACGCTGAGCAGCACAGAGCGCTCACTTCTTGGAAAAACTGAGATCATACAGAGCTGTCAAATGTAAAGTCAATGTGTCTTCCTCTTCTCAGGAGCCAGCCTGGTACATATATACTTCCTTTTTGTATGAAAACTAAGTTCCAGCATACATGTGTGTGTGTGTTGTGTGTATGTGTTTGTGTGTGTGTTGTGTGTGTATGTTTGTGTGTGTGCATGTGTGTATGTGTATGTATGTGTATGTGTGTATGTGTCTGTGTGTGTGTGCACGCTAGCTGGGGCTTGAATTCAGGGCCTCCCTCTCTGTTTCCTTTCTCTCTCTCTCTGTCTCTCTGTCTCTTTCTGTCTCTGTCTCTGTTTCTCTCTCTCTCTGTCTCTCTGTGTCTCTCTGTCTCTCTGTGTCTCTCTGTCTGACTCTGACTCTCTGTCTCTGACTCTGTCTCTGTCTGTCTCTCTCTGTCTCTGTCTCTCTGTCTCTGTCTCTCTCTGTCTCTCTCTGTTTCTCTCTGTCTCTCTGTCACTCTCTCTGTCTCTGACTCTGACTCTGTCTCTGTCTGTCTCTCTGTCTCTGTCTCTCTTTCTCTCTCTGTCTGTCTCTCTGTCTGTCTTTGTCTGTCTCTCTGTCTCTCTCTCTCACTGGGCATGCTTGCACAGTGATATTCCACTGTTGAACCACACTCCATGCTGGCATTTTGCTGGCTAGTTGGAGATGGGGCCTCACAGACTTCTCCACCCACCGGGTCAGGTTGCCAGAGCTCTTCCCTGGTCTGCAGTGGGGAAAGGGGGTGCAGTCACCCCAAAAGTGGGTAGCAAAGCTTTCTCCAGGATGGCCCTCCTCCTCCGCCCTTCCCAGGCCTTAACTCGGCTGCGGATGGGAGCCAGCGTCGGCCAGCCGAGCCCTTGGACGCACGCTGTCTGCTCCCACCCATTTGAAATTAACCTCCTGGTTGCGAAGGTAACCTACCACCAAAATTGGGCCTGAGAAATTTGTTGTAGCCGGCCGTGAGGTTGTCAAAGCCAGGCAGGGAGAGCTTGTCGCTCCTGCCCACCTCCGTGCGGAGCTGGCCCCCCTGGACACGCACCCTGGAAGATAAAACGGGTTGTGTTGCCTGTGCTGCTCCGGTGGAGGGGCCGGGGCTCCTGAGCCCCAAGGCCAGCCTTGGCTTCCCTACTGCCCCCGCGTTGGCCCTCCTTCCCGCTATCCGCTGCCCCCGCGTTGGCCCTCCTTCCCGCTCCCCGCTCGCCCTCTATCAAAGGCCTCCCAGCAGCTGTCAACATCCCAGGGCTGCCACTTCAAACACATTTGTTCTCTTGGAGAATTAATGGCAATTTTTTTAAGAGTGTGTTTAAGGTGTGCGACCAGGAAGGGAGGGACAGCTCCGGCCTTGCTCTGCACCGTGGCGCCTGCCTCCCCCTCCCACAACACAGACACCCACAGGAAAGTCAGCCCCTGGGCAGCAGAACCCACCTCTGGGAGAGGACACCGAGGCATGCGAAGGCCAAGAGGAGTCCGGAGCTCATGGTGAGGCCGTTCAGACAGCGGGGGCCGAAGAGCAATCGCCTGGGGAGACAGGGCCAGGTGAGGGCGTCCGGGCTCCCTGCCCAGCCCAGCGCCTGGCGGGAGACACGGGTACTGACTCAGCAAGGCAGCTTTCTCCTGCCCTCCGGCCTTCCTTCTCCCTCACTCCTTCTCTCTTGTCTTCCTTCCTTCCTTCTCTCTCTCCCTCCACCCCCCCCCCTTTCTTGGGCTAGTGTTTGAAGTCAGGGCCAGGGCACGGCCCCTTTACTTTTCCACTAAAGGCTATGCACTACCACCTGAGCCACGTCCCCATCCTGAATTTTTGCCAGTTATTTTGGAGATGGCATCTCACGGAGTTCCCTGCCCAGGCTGTCTTTGAATCATAATCCTCTAGATCTCAACCTAGGATTACAGGTGGGAGCTACGGTGCTGGACTCGCCCCCCGCCTCATTTCTTTTCTCTGGTCTCAGACCTCAGAGGTACCAATTGCTTTACCCACACATAAGCACATATTTCTACATAAAGAAAAATAAAGTAGCATTGGGATGTGAGGCTGTGTTTTGGGTTTTTTTGGTGAATACATTGTGCATGCTTGAGATAAAGTGCTAGCTATGATTCTCACTGTGTAGGGAGAGAACTCAGTCTCGGAGGAGGGCATGCTCTGGAGGCCGTGCTGAGTCGGAGGCCAGCTGGGGCGCTGACCGGCGTCCTCTTGGCCACCCCCCCCCACGCCTGTTCCACAGCTTTCCTTGTCCACACCCCGCTCCGCAGGCCTGCAGGCTGGCCGTCCCCTGCCATTCGGTGCCAGTTACATAGCCCATCCTGGCTGGGGATCCGAAATGGTTTCTGCAGATGTGCTGTAACCAAATCAGCCACAACATCCTGGGGCATAACCACTCTCACAGCTCTCGGGGTGTCTTCCCCTTCATCCCCTGTACCCCACCCTCCCCTGGCCCCAGCTCCGGCCTGGCCCCAGCCACCCCTGCGTGGCTGAACAAGATCCTCCTCCAGGCCCCGCCTCGAGGGGGCGGGGGGGGCTGCACGGCCATCCTCCCCCAGGCCCCGCCTCGAGGGGCCGGGGGGGGGACTGCACGGCCAACTCCACCTGGGGAGGAGGAGAAACCGCAGACCCCGTCTGCGTCTGAAGAGGGCCCAGCACTGGACGTCTAGAAGGGCCGACGGGCCTGGAGCATTGCTGAAGAGCTGGAGGCCTGTCCCTCCACTCTCCCTCCCGCCTCGCCCCTGCTCTGCGCTCGGGTTCATCTGGGGCATGCTCTTCCATCTAGCCCCTGCAGGCCCCGCGGGGTGTGACCTGCTCACCGTGCGGCTGCGTGGACACAGCTTGAACTTTTGTTCTCCAAGTCCCTGCTCTTTGCCCTGTGCTGAGGAAGAGCGTCCTGGGTCCTAAACCAGTGGTGACGGTCCCCGACTCTGCCCTGGGTCCCAGGGTGGAGTGCTGTTCCACGGTACCGAGCAAGCCTGGGCCAGTGACCCCTGGGCAGAGACGCCAGTCACTCGCGAGTTTTCCCTGCGCCAATCTGGCTGGAAGCCAGGCCTTCCCTCGGGACGCAGGCCTCACAGATGGTATCAGTGGAGGCCTGAGCTATGGGGGTGGCATCCTGGAAGCCACCTCCAGCTGGCTGGCCACTCTGGCCTCTGCTGGGCCCGAGGACATTCACTGGAGGCTCATCTCCACTGGCAGAAGAAGATCTGACTGCACTTTGACGCCAAGTCTAACCTGGCTGTGCGGCCTTTCACACAGGGAGGTGTTCACACATAGGGAGGTGCTCACACAGGGAGGTGTTCACACAGGGAGGTGCTCACACAGGGAGGTGTTCACACAGGGAGGTGCTCACACACAGGGAGGTGCTCACACAGGGAGGTGCTCACACAGGGAGGTGCTCACACAGGGAGGTGCTCACACAGGGGGGTGCTCACACAGCCGGGCGTCCAGGGTGAAGCTCTTGTTGCCTTCAAATACCAGCCGTGGGTCTGTCCAGCGCTGGCGGAGGTAGATGGTGGCCGTGTAGTCCT